TGAAACTCGTACTGACATAGTTCTTGAAATTGTTGAATCAGACACTGAACTTAAGACTGTTAAGAGAGGGAAATACGGCCTTTTGAAGAACATTCTAAATTGTCAGAAAATGATAAATGGAATTATCACGTTTTCAGCGCTGCGCGTATCGATAAAAACGCAGCTCTACTCGAAGTCTAGATCTAAACATACTTGTATGCAAAAAGGGTAATACACTTATTTGGTTAGGCCCTTGTCAATAGAATCTGATAGAAGGGGATGCTGAAAACGATACATGTTTACGAATTCATTAATTAGATATGTTTCCGTTTCATCTAAAAACGATCAGATTTTTATTTGAGATTTCCCGAACAGGAAACCATTCGTTCTCTCAAAGGAAATGTAACTTTCAATATGCTTCACGACTATTACTTTCATTTTTTATAAATGAAAAAAAAAACACTATTAAATATGCCTTTATTTTATGAAAGTAAAAACACATTCACTAAGGGACAACGAATTCGTTTTGTTTTTAGCTATCTCAAACAATATACATTTCCTTACAGATACAACTCCCCGAAAAATCATTATTTTTTGAAAAAAATGATGAATTGATTAATTGAAAAATTCAATTGATTCAATTCACAGAAAGTCCCTCAATAGAACCACCAACTATCCACTTTTAAACAAAGCCGTTACGTTATTCACAAAGGAATAAGAAGTAAGCATATTAGAAAGAAGTAAGAATGAGAAGTAAAACTGAGAGGACTCAGGCCCCTAGCCAACAGTTATTTCAAAATCATGCAGTTTTTTACCATTCAGAGCACCTTTTAATTGATTGAATTAACCATTTTTAGACCAAAATTCTCACAAGTGAACCCCCTTGGAATTTTTCAAAAAGTGAACCCCCCTCGGCAAATCCTGGCTATGGGCCTGGAACGGATCATAAACGCTTACATAATCTTCCTTGACAAGTTAACCAATAGGCTCATTCATCTTAGCCCAAAGTGAAAGATAGAAACCATTGACGTGTACTAATCGCACGCACTTATAGAGTAAAATCAATCCTAATTTTTCAAACTTGGCATGTGCGTCAAAATACCCTTATAGCGCTGACCTTCTCCTTGAGCGTTAAGAAAAATGAGAAGGTTTGCTATATAACTTTGAAATCTCGTTGAAGTCTCGTTTAATAAATGAGTCCTATTGTTACACACAAAACATGAAATGCCGGAAGGCGATTTGCCACAATTCTGTTCATTCATTGTTAATTTGTTTATATTCATGAAATAAATCTATTGATTAAAAAAGACAGGACATTTCATATTGAAATAATCATATGGTTTATGGCAGTACCATAAGTTAAGCTGAACAATCAAATGAGCTGCAAGGTTAAATGGCTTTAAAATGTTGCGCACGAAGTCACTGCGTGTTAATGATCCAATTAATTAAATCAGCTAAGTGGCTGTTTCGTTTCTTAAAAAAGTCAATTACGAGTCTTTCAATCTTGATTGATTTAAAATAAAGAATATGAAAATAAGAATAAGAAAATATACAATATGAAGTCGACATAAATTTGAAAAAATGGGGCCTATTTATAACAAATAATCGGGCCTGGTATATTCGAAGAAGAACTTTCCGTATAGAATGTACACGTTTAGATTGGCGTGAAATTCCATTAACCCTCCTAATCGACATATAACACGAGAAAGTGACGCCAAAATGAAATGAAAATCAAAATATTTTGACACAAACTGACCGCGAACATAAATCGATAAGAATACACTCATGAATGCGGTATGAAGAACACCAACGGGAACTCAGCGAAGATATGCGTGCGTTAAAAGTGATATTCCTTATTCAAATAATGTTGTGGATAAACTATGAGTGATTGGTTATATGGGAAATAATAGCATAAGTTGTTAAAGGATGATAATTCTAAAAATCATTTTTACGTTTTCTTAGCACTTGATAGTCATAAACATTCTTTAACAACTTATGCTTTCATTATACTTCCTTACCGTTCCCACTGATCAAGGCCGGCGATATAATTGACATACTGCTCCTTGAATCAGCTATCTGCCTAAACCAAGGCGTTATTTTGGGACTCATGATCGTGACATAAACCTCATATGCAAGCACTTTTATTGCAAGTAATTCATCAATACAAAAAGCGTGACAGATATGCCGTTTTTACTGTCATTGGTAAATGCAATTCGGAATTGCCCCAATTGCAAGTTGATGACTGTGATATCAATGTGATGCTATAACAGTCTCGTTATAAGTGATACAATCAATCCGACTACGACATGGATTGATATTTTACTTATTGAGAGCCTCGTTATGCCGTTTTGCTATACATGCTATTTACACCCTCTACAATGGTATGGAAATCGACAGTCCACTCTTGAATTAACGATCACTCAATTCATTCCTATTAAAACCTGTTTACGATCGACTATGTAAACAATTATCAAAGTCATATATTTCCGAAATATTGCAATATGGAACAATATGTGGACAGGATTCGATGCACTATCTAATGAAAGTTCAAAGTTGCCAAACTAATGGGAGGGAGTGTAGTAAAAACAAAAAGCAGAGAGCCCGAAAATACACTGAGGCCATTCGCACACTCCCCGATTAGTTTAGCGACTGGAAGTTTCAATAGACGGCATATCAAATAAGTCAATGTTTAAACCTCGATTATATGTTCTTTAATTTCAATAGCTCGGACATATATAAAACACACTTATGTTTGAAATCGACAGATATATATACAGGCTTTAGTAAGTAACAAAGATGAGAATTTCCCATTGCCAAACTTATGGAGGAGAGTGTAAATTCATTTTTAATCCGCGTGTGTTTCCTGTTTTCATTTTCTTCGATTTCCAGGGTGGTCTAAACTTAACAACTGTGACCTTGTGAATGCTTGAGATGCTTCTGTGTAAACATTTTACAATAGTACAAAGTGCAAAATGCAATTGTGTCTAATCCATTGCTATTAACCTTCGATCGACTAACAGGGGACAGTTTAACTGGGTGAACCAAGGGCGAGAACGTTCGCAAATTGGCGTTCGGGTTTTTACCGCATCCAATTTGAATTAGCCAAACACCATTGTCTTATAAAGACCAAACAAAGCCACGGATGTCGTGCCGTTTCTCGTTTCGTTTCGTACACAACTAAGCCCTGGGTATTAAATAAGCCCTTGGGTGAACACAGTTGCAGCAACCAACATTCAAATGATGCTTTAAAATTCCAAGTGCAAATTGACATCTACTTACTTTATCGTAGGGCGAAACATATTCTTAATTCCCTTCTTAGTTATGAGTTATCAATTATAGAAATTATGGATATACATCGGTTTAATTAAGATAATGCATTTTACGTTTTATCGAATCAGTATTAATTTGTCTGTTTATTATATAACACGAAGTTTCACTTAGTTGTTATTGTCACAACATATCCGGTACGATATTTTATTCCATGATGGTAAAATTCCCTCCAATCTGATTGGTCCATGTGACTTAAATATATTCTGTATTTACACGCACCTTCCACTTAGCGTTGGATAGAGAGTGACAATGACGTCAGCGTTGGGATACGGTCCAGTATCCCAATGCCACCAGATTCCCATCCAGGATATGAATATTACTGAAAAAATCAATCCCGATTAGTTTACACCAACGCGTGCTAATCTTTGCATTTTGCTAGAAATATCTGACTTAAATATCAGGATATTATACTGTGAGCAATGCAATTTTTAATTTTGGGATAAAAACACGCATATGTAAATATAAGAAATAAATATGAAGCATGCACATTGTTTTCATGAACTAGTAAAAATCCAATATGGCAGACGAACGTCGAAAAAGCTTTTCGCAACACGTACTACACTTCGAGATGAGGACATTGAAGAGAAAAGACATAAAATAAAACGTGCCGTATAATACAATAAAAGCAAACAACAGGGCCGGAATATCGATTAAAATATTTTTGAGATGAGAAGGTTCATCTGTTTCTCTCGGGCGGGGGAGTTTTATCTGAGTAATCATGGAATAAGTACGTTACATTATTCCCTTGAACGTATGTATTTCACTCTGCTAGCGCATTGTGAAATACAGACCTTCTCGTGAAGAATATTTTCTGTATTTCACTCGAATCGTTGAATGAATAACTTATTGTATTGTACATCATCGTGTCCTTTCAGTTGCGATACCGTGCGACACCGTAAAATATATTGTACGGTAGTGTAGCATCGTTACAATACCGTTTGAATACGATACCATCGTAAAGACGGTGGCGTACAAGTAACCGTTTCAGATACCGTACAGTCCAATGTTCAGGTAGAGCACAGAACCGTGATTTCAGGGTACGGATATCAGTCGTATATACTTGTCACGAAGCTCTCCAAGCTTTGCATTGGGTTGACCTGCCTTCCTACGTAGCTTCTTAATCTATTTTTGCTATTGATGCAATCTCATTCTACGTTCCGGAAAGGAAAAGCAAAGTACATCTGCTTACCTAATCTATTTCAAAACAAAACACGCGAGAACAAGTCATTAATAAATTGATATCTTCCTTTTTTCAGGATGGTGGATGGTGTTTCCGAGTCAATCAAAGATGGACGGAGTCCCCGAAGCGTCTTGAATGATAGTTTAGCTGACAGTCTCGAGAAGAAGTTTATCTAATAGTCTTGAGAAATAGTTTATCTTATTATCAATATCGGATAGCGTAGTGGGAATTTACTGCACATATCAACCGACCGCGGAGGATATGATTAAAATTGAGAAAGAACGGAGAGAGTGTCATTCAGTTTATTTAGTACCAGTGGACGTAACGTTTGTGATTATAATTAAGGGAAGGTAGTGCACACTGATATAGCGATACAAATTACTGATGCATTCTCATAACCAATAAAACGCGAAGACGGAGAAAAGATTTAGTTTATGTTGCATTTCCGAAACGGTATAAGAAGGGAGATTTACCAGTGTATAAGAAATTGGTTTTGTTAATTGATTTATATGCATTCAATGAAATGCTGCATCTGTTTAGATTAATACAATTTGTTTTAAAAAAGCAGAAATAGTGAAGCGATGAGAGACGTGCTCTCCTTATATACGCAAAGAATTCATAGTAGGATTTTGGAAAATATGCGATATATATTGTCTGCATTTTAACAACAGGATGTTATCCTGAAAGAATCAGCAATAAAAACCGACTTGGACAATCAGGAAGTTTTGATAAAATACTTCGATATGGCGTTCAACAATACCGATACGTATCCGGAAAATACAACTGATACACTTTTGGATCAAAGGATGCGACCAAACTGTTCTGTAGGCGTAAATGGAACTATTCATGCCTCCTGTAGAACAAGATCAAGACCACCTGTCGAGGTAAGTTCATTGAACAACGTTCACTTCGTTTTATTATAACAAAGCAATTTGGAGATGTTATATTGGAAATTGAGGAGAGATTGCATGCATTTTAAGCCGATGCAATTACAAAGTTCAAACAGAGTTAAGGAAAAATTCTATACTCTTAATGAATTTCGTTGTTATGTTTAAGACCAGAATAATGATCATTCAAGCAATTTAAATTTAGCCTTAAATGTTACCAAAAACTAGGAATTGAATAGTGAATGATTTAAGACAATCGTATCTTTCGCTATGACTGTATTCTGACCATAAATAGATACACTGCGAGCGCAAATTCTACAGTGAGAAGCTATTTCTTACCTGAATTAAATTAGTTATTAAGAGAAGGGAAATAAGTTCAACAGTGTTTTCCAAGTATTACGAAGTTATCAGGTAATATTAAGAATATTAATTAATCGATGATATCAACAAAAAAAGATTCACCTTTGTGATACCATATCCACGAATATTTCAAAATATCGGATTCATTTTCCCAAAAATAACCTTCCTTTTTCGTTTATACTATATCTAAATTTTCTTGTCTTTAGCTTCTGAAAGAAGAAATGGCGTTGAAACGTGATAAAGTTCAAAACAACAAATCCATTTTTTTCAGAGAGTCGGACTGAATATTTCATCATCTTTGGAAGCTTACTTTGAGGATAACATACCATTTCAACGAGAATTATATAATGTACTCATTTGAGAAAATACCCATGATCAAATATATGACTCTCAAAAACCACTTAACATACTAAACCCAGTACTTTTAGTTAATATATCTAGGTAATCATCTTTGATTGATCATATAAAGATGGTCATCTCTCCATGTGAATCATGTAAAAACGAGTTAATAGGGCAGATCTTAAGAGCCTACAGATTGAGCATTACCGATTCTTTGATCAAATCACTCCAATCGCAAAAGGAACAGCCATCCCGTGAGCTTTACATTAAAACATGGACGTTTTCATCAACTTAAACGGCAAGGGGTAAATGACCCAGCACAAATGTAATCGGCTGAGTTATCGAACTTGAACTATCGCTTTGCTTCTAGCTCTGAGAGTTACTGAATTGAAATCTCGCTTCTAGCCCTGAGAGTTTCGAAATTGAAATATCGCTTCTGCTCTGAGAGTTTCGAAATTGAAATATCGTCTCTAGCCCTGAGAGTTTCGAAATTGAAATATCGCTTCTAGCTCTGAGAGTTTCGAAATTGAAATATCGCTTCTTGCTCTGAGAGTTACTGAATTGAAATATCGCTTCTAGCTCTGAGAGTTTCGAAATTGAAATATCACTTCTCCGGATCGCTTCTAGCTCCGAACGTTTCGAAATTGAAATATCGCTTCTTGCTCTGAGAGTTTCGAAATTGAAATATCGTCTCTAGCCCTGAGAGTTTCGAAATTGAAATATCGCTTCTGCTCTGAGAGTTTCGAAATTGAAATATCGTCTCTAGCCCTGAGAGTTTCGAAATTGAAATATCGCTTCTAGCTCTAAGAGTTTCGAAATTGAAATATCGCTTCTTGCTCTGAGAGTTACTGAATTGAAATATCGCTTCTAGCTCTGAGAGTTTCGAAATTGAAATATCACTTCTCCGGATCGCTTCTAGCTCCGAACGTTTTGAAATTGAAATATCGCTTCTTGCTCTGAGAGTTTCGAAATTGAAATATCGCTTCTTGCTCTGAGAGTTACTGAATTGAAATATCGCTTCTAGCTCTGAGAGTTTCTAAATTGAAATATCGCTTCTAGCTCTGAGAGTTTCGAAATTGAAATATCGCTTCTCCGGATCGCTTCTAGCTCCGAACGTTTCGAAATTGAATTATCGCTTCTTGCTCTGAGAGTTTCGAAATTGAAATATCGCTTCTTGCTCTGAGAGTTACTGAATTGAAATATCGCTTCTAGCTCTGAGAGTTTCGAAATTGAAATATCGCTTCTCCGGATCGCTTCTAGCTCCGAACGTTTCGAAATTAAAATATCGCTTCTTGCTCTTAGAGTTCCGTGACGATGTTTCCTTGTCTTCGTATTCCAGGCTACCCATGGTTTGTTTAATCTACAGTAAGTGTATCGTCATGTCTTTCGTCATCCAGTAGAGTCATGATGTATGTGATTTGTTGCTAACACTCCCCTCAATAAGTTTAGCAATCAGAAGAGCAATTTTGGGTCACATATTAAGCCTGTTTATATTTGGTAATTTAGAAAAGAGTGATTTTTCTTAACAATGGTAAATTGTAATAAAGGAATGCATTTCGATTCAAACTTCAACTGTTTATTTCTATTCGCAAAAATAAGGTTATGCTAGTTAGTTTTTACCCGTATCGCCTATTTTATCGTCAATTTAAATTCAAAATGCACCACTTCATTAAATCGATTTTTAAGCAATCAGAAGAGCAATTTTGGGTCACATATTAAGCCTGTTTATATTTGGTGATTTAGAAAAGAGTGATTTTCTTAACTATGGTAAATTGTAATAAAGGAATGCATTTCGATTCAAACTTCAACTGTTTATTTGTCTTCGCAAAAATAAGGTTATGCTAGTTAGTTTTTACCCGTATCGCCTATTTTATCGTCAATTTAAATTCAAAATGTAGAATGTTTTAATACCACTTCATTAAATCGATTTTTTATTGTGAGTTAAAAAAACCTCCGACGCGTGGCTTTCTCCCATGGATGTCTGTTTTGATCGGAAATATCTTTAGGGGCAATTTGACAGATAATGCATGTTTTTAATTGATTTACTAGTTATTTTAATTTTTATCACACAATTTAACTTTATCCGAATGTCAGCATTTAATTATCCACATTCTAACATAAGCAAATTCCGATATTTTTTATGACACTAGAGACGCAATAATATTGTTTCAACTGTGCGAGTCAGGGAAAATTCGATATAGTATTCGATTATTCATCCAAATTAGATCAATTAGATCTACCGATTATTATATTATAAGAATATGATAGATGCCACATTCACTGTTATATATATATATGGTTAAAAAAATAATCGATTCGATATTCAAAATCACGGGTACAAACAAAACCTTTTGATACAGAGAGCATGCCGAGGGGTAAAATGGCTAAGATACGAGGCTACGAGCTCGTTGGTATTTAAACTCAACGTGGATCCTCAAATGCTAATGGGGCCCAAACTTTGGTTTTAGGGGTTTTCCAGACTCAAAATTTGCCCCCCCCCCCTCCCCTTTGAATTTCTGGATCCGCCACTGATATCGAGGTCTGGATAATGCCCGTGAAAATGTATTACAACAATAAAAGGACCGGCACGAATAATGCTATATGTGAGATGAGCATGTCTTATATATCATATTTGTGTTTATTTTTATGCTTTCTTAACATTCTACTACTCCTTGTGTCTTGTTTTACTAGAATTACCAAGGAGAAAAGAGATGCTATGGTTTATCTTGATGCTAAAAAGAATGATGTCAATGATTATAGTTAATGACATTTCTGATTGGTGATATACGATGCGCAATCAAAATAACAGATCCATTGTTATCTTTTTGGATTATCACTTTGTATATGTAACGTTATATGCTATGATAGCTTTTCTTAGCGTAGTCCGTAGTTTCGCATTTAAATGGAAGAATAGTTGTTCTCTTATTCTTAATTCTTTATACGTATCGATAGAAAATGTCCGAAGACTTGTGCAACGTAATACGTGAGTCTCTAGCAAGCATCCAACAGAGATCTTTCGGCACTGTAAAAATATAAAGTTTATCATAAAGACATAAAGGTATTAAATATGTATACAAGAATTATTTATCTTCATCATCACGCGGTACTAACTCTCCGGGGCGTACCAAACCAAAACGCCCCGCAAAACGGTTAATTTGAATTTCAAATCTACCCTGTCTTTGGAAAATCGATGATTGTGAGTGTCATAGTACACCGTTTTTCTTCAAACTTGTTCCATTAAAACCTTCACAGAAATACCTTTCAGTCGAGACATTGCCTTAGTATACAAAGTCCCTCGTTTTAACGGCGTTTTGGTCCCCAGATGTGAGAAGATGCAAATCTTCAGAGATTTCAACCAAAAGCCTCGATATATCGCCAGTTCTTTTATTATTTCCCCTTATGTTTTGCTCAAGGACCCCCATTACAACTCTCCATCGCTGCATCAACATATTCACCCTATGCAGACAGAGCCTGTGGGAAATATCGGGTGCGGCGCAAATGAGCAGAGGGTGCGGAGCTAATGGTCATTTTTGAATTTAAAATTGGGATATTTCTGAAACTAAGCCGTTTTGGGACTTCAAATATACCAAGATATGTGTATTTGACACCAAATATCAATAAAATTGTGAAAATAGTAGTTACACGTCGCACGAAACTGGGGACAATTAGAGTAACATTATGGCGTCAAAATACCAAAACAATACAATGGCCAGTATAGGGCGCAATCAGCATTATAACGTCAAAAACGACAAGCGTTACATTTTGTCAAGTTTAGTCAACCTAAAAATAAGATGCTTTATTCTTATTCAATCCTGGTGAAATTCACAGAGCAAGAAGATCTCGAGGACAATATTTCTAAAATGTTTTTGATTTTTGAAAAACGGTCAGGAAATCCACTCGGGGCGTTAGTAAAAATTGATATGTATGGGATTTGTGGTAAAAAATCGATGCGTTACATTTTTTCAAGTCTCTAAAAGCAACTCTTATTCTCTTATTATTTGAAAAATAAAGAAATCTGTTATTGTTTTGTAAATTTCGCCATGACAATATTGTGCAGTTAAATTTTTTTTGAAATCAGACCTAAATTAGTAGGTTAAATAAAGGTAAACTTATTGCTTGTCTCCCTCGCCTTCAAAACCTTACACAATTTTGAAAATCTTAAAAGCGTTCATATAAGACGATTTGAACTGTAGCCGCTGGGCAATTGTGAGGTCATAAAAGCACATGTTTCAATGAATGAAATGTGAAATTTTAGTAAAATTCTGATCAGTATTTCAAAAGTTATCCTGATTTCAACG